TTGGAGACCCATACCTAACCTTCTTTCTTATTTCGATTCTCAATTCATTTTACAATGACTAAATACTTGTATGAAACAAAATAGTCCTGAAGTTTAGGATAAACACTTGAATTTATTGGATAAACACCTAATCAATTGGATCCGAGCCATTTCACTAAAAAATATTATGTGGACAAATCTAAAACTTGCGGTGTAAGAAGCGTACATGGGAGGTCCATATATACATTTAGAGACATTAGAATTGGACCTTAATCTCTCCACCTTAAGGCACTAGCAATTTCCGCAGTTGGATTTGCTGTTTTGGGCATCCCTAGCCATTAGATGCCCTTGTCAATGTGCGGATGGGCCGTGGATCATCATTCTTTGCAGAGTGGGCGAGGGACTAGGATGACGTTGCTAGGGCCACTATTCCCATTCTAAAATCAAAAGCATTTGGTTGATTCGGGTCTGTGGATGGTCAAAAGACCCTCTAGTATGATACCAGCAAGGGTCACAACGGCCTCGCCAGAGCATTTACAACAATAAACGGTTACAACGTGTCAATCAGGAATGAGAGCCAACAAAAATCTGTTTTCTAGACGTACTGGTTATAAGAATTTCACAACATCTTAACTAAGTACTCCCTCCGATCTTGAACTAAAACCACGATACTTATTTTAGATCAAAGGGAGTAAATCTTAACATCCTCCTTCAGTCTAACTTGTCTAAGTTGAGGTTTTTTTTTAATCTATTAAGCTGTTGCAAACACTGATTCTGTAAACTCGTCTGCAACTTGACCATCCTTGGGTGTGATCTGAATTTCCAATAATCTTCATGCCACACGCTCGCGAAATGGTAACCTACCTCGATGCATGTGCTTATGCCTCACATGAAAGACCGGATTAGTGGAAGATACGTTGCACCAATATTGCCACAACAAAGAAGTGCAACCGAGCATGCTCATCCCCAAGCTCATTATATCCATATCACCTCTGTTGCGGCATCGCTAGAGGTACAACTCATATTGTTTTGTTTTATACGTATACGATACAACACCATGCAATGGACCGAGATTCCTCTGACTCCGCGAAGGATAAAAAATGATGGTTAGGGCCAGTTCTTTTGAGGTATGTTGTGGAAATAAGCTGCTGTGGAAATAAGCTCAAGATAAGCTGCTGTGGAAATAAGCTCCAGAAAATAAGCTAGCCAGTTCTTTTCAGTGCCTGTTTTTTCAGCTTCTGTGTGGTATGGTCACTGAAAAGTCTGTAATGCCCTTGGACTGTACTGTTGTTCGGATTAAAGGATATTGCGCTATTTTTATCATTTTGTTTCCCATATGAACATAAATTTGACTTTCAAACACCAAAACTTGTTATAATCAAGCATAAGGAAGATCATTGTCTCGCATACGAATATCATACATGCATCACTATCTCATGTAGTACGAGTACTTGAGAAGTACCGAATAAAAATGATCCCTAAATTATTACATGGTTCTCCCAACAAAAGCATACACCCTAGCAGTACTGCACCCTAGAGCTAACCATCAAGGGAAAACACTTGTAGCAATAGCATCACGGATGGAACCCATAGTACCATCATCAATGGGTGCATGGTGATGAGAAAGGCTCTCCTCATGAGCATAAGATCCACTCTCAACCATGTCAAAATGTTGATCACTTAGTTTGCTCTCACAAATGAAGTTATGAAGACACGCACATGCAGTAATGATCTTTGTTTGCGTAGCAGGTTTGTACCGGGTGATGCCGAGGAGGATTCTCCATTTCATCTTTAAGAACACCGAACGATCGTTCAATGACATTCCGTAGTGATGAATGTAGATGGTTGAAGGTCTCATATCTTCCTCGTGGTGGTACTTGTTGGAAATCGGGTACATGGTAGCGTTGTCCTTTGTATGGTGCTAGATATCCAACTCTGTTTGGATATCCAGAGTCAACAAGATAATATTTGCATGCATTGGTAATAAAGATGACCAAAACCAATTAGTTCACGCAAAACATTAGAGCACAAGAATGCATGTACAAGTTATTACCGTCTGGCGGGTGTGGAAAGTAGGAATATTCAACTTGTGCATCATTGAGTACACATGTGTCATCACTAGCCGCATAGTAAGAAAAGTAACAAATGGAATTGATGTGAACATATGTATACCTGTATCTCATTTGCCCACCATTCATCACTAGCCGCAATGGTCTTGGTAACAGGATCAAACCCAATGCCTGATGCCTTTTGGGTTAATGTCTTCCAAACAACATACTCTTTTTTTAGCACGTCCCACTTATTCTTGAATTGCTTTCGTGTATATTCTCTCCTCGTGCGCTCAAAAAACTTTCTTACCACATTGTCATATCCAAGTGGTCTCAATGTTCCTTCTTTGCCACGGTTATTGGCATTCACTTCTTCCACACAAATATCAATGAAAGTTCTAAGACCCACATTATCCCATTGTGCTTTCATCTATTTTTCATCATGTCAATACAAAAGAATTGGAAGAATTAATATGTAGTACAAACAATAGCTAGATATTGCTTTTACAGTAGCATATATAAGCATCGCATCATGTCAATATTTCTTCTGTGCAACCAGAGGGCAACAATTGTACTACTATTTGGCACAATCAATACATCCATATCAAAATTATTTCTGCCATATATAGGCAATGCATCATAGCAAATCAAGATGAAAACATCATTCTTCAGCAGTACCTTGCAACAAATCTAGATGAACTTTTTTGCAAAAGAAATCACAGGAGGAGCTGCTCACCTTGGGGGCTCACGGCCAGGATGAGGGGACGGGGAAAGGGGGTCGCCGTCCGCCGGAGTGGGGCGACGTCCGCCGGAGTGGAGCCCTGGCCGGACCGGGCCAGGAGCTGCTGCTGCACACCGGAGACGGAGGGGATGCGGCCGAGGGAGGGGTCGCGCCCGTGCGAGCTAGGGTGGAAGATGTGGCCTACCCGCTGGCCATGTCACCGGAGATGGCCTCGTCGATGACCGGAGGACCTGACGACCGTCGGCGGCGGTGGCGGTTAGGAGGAACCCTAGGCGGAGCGACAGAATAGAGAAGGGGTCGAGCGGGAGGGAGGGGATCGAGCAGCCCGTCTGCCCCTTTTTTTTCTGCGTCAGGAACTCTCTGCAGGACTGTGATGGCAATTTCGCTGTAAAAAGTTAAAACAACAGCGACACATCCCTATACCCTTTCGTTTTTAAGTGAGAAGCTGCGGGAAGCTGCGGGAAGCCACCCGACCCCAGCTTTTTTCCATTGTGAAGGAGGAGGTAGAAATAAGCTAAGCTGGCTTCTCTAAAACGAGTTCTTTTGAGCTTCTAGCTTTTTTTGACAATAAGCTGCTAGAAGCTACAAAAGAACTGGCCCTTACTCTAGCAGCCGTGACAAGGAAGCTGCTAGCTCGCTAGGTACTTGGCTCGTTGCGAATTCTTTTCTCCAAGCTGGTTGTAATATGTTAGTGTGTTATTTCTTTCAAGTCTGTATGTACGTTGCACCGTTGTCCATGTACCCACGCACGTTCCTTTCTGTTTACTTCGTCGGTCCATGCATGCATTGGACCGTGAATCTTTCATCGATTTTCTGCTCCGGCGACCTTGAATAGAAGTACTAGATTCTCTCTCTCAAAAAGAAAGAGTAGTTCTAGTAGAAGGTGCTCTCCTCACATACACCTGATGTGAACCGTAAAATCCAAAACAGTATTGAAAGAATTTTTAAAAATAAATTTTTTGCCAACAAACATTGACAAGTGTTTCACTTGCATGCAAATTTTCGTGATAGAATCACATTCATAGAGGCCTGGGCAACGAAACAAAATTGATGCTCCCAAGTGCTTCCAACAATAATCTTTTTGAAGACACCGATATCGTTTTTCCAAGACCTGCATGAACGACGTTATTTCATCCTGAAATATTGCAAGCAGGTGAAACACACATCAATCTCTCTCTCTCTCTCTCTCTCACACACACACACACATATAGAGACAATATTTTTTTAGGTTTTACTGTTCATCCAAGTGCATGTGTGCTCGCTTGCAGAAACTCTGCACGCGTAAGATACTACCAATCGCTAGCAGCTTCTCTCATGCTCTGCATATTGCCATGATGCCATCGATCCATTAAACTGTGTATGCAACGGAATCACTGGAAAACACCTAAGAAAGCAGGCGCACAGTCCAACCATGGGTCTTGGGGCTCGTGTGCACATCATGCCTCACTACTTCAATAAACATTCGACGGTAGTAATATGGTTTTTGCTGGACGCGGAGTTATTGCGCCCGAGCTCAGCTGAGCTCGTTATCTGGTGCGTTCAATAGCGCATGTGGATGTGCGCCGCGAGGTAATACGAGCACAGGAAAAACGATAGAAAATTTGTACTGTGCAGAAATACGTACACGGCAGGCGGGGTTGGTGGGCTTGTCTGTAACGTGCGGGGGGAGTCCGTCAACCATGACCATTTGGGCCGTGGGCTAGAATCGGCATTACCATCTGACCCGTGGCCC